GTAGTAGTAGTAGTAGTCGTAGTAGTAGTAGTAGTAGTAGAGTAGTAGTAGTAGTAGTAGTAGTAGTAGTAGTAGGAGTAGTAGTAGTAGTAGTAGTAGTCGTAGTCGTAGTAGTAGTAGTAGTAGTAGTAGTAGTAGTAGTAGGAGGAGGAGGAGGAGGAGGAGGAGGAAGAGGAGGAGGAGGAGGAGGAGCAGTAGCACTAGCAGTAGTAGTAGCAGTAGCAGTAGCAGTAGCAGTAGTAGTAGTAGTAGTAGTAGTAATAGAACAGCTTAATACCTACATCTACATCTAGAACTACATCCGCATCTACACATACAGCTACATCTACATGTACGCATGCATCTGCATCTACATCTACATCTACATCTACAACTACATTCACATCTATATCTACATATACTATGCTGCGAAATGCTGCGCTATGACATGCTATGATATGCTAGGGCACGCTCGGCTGCGCTGCGTTATGCTAGGCTATACTATGCTATGCTATGATGCGATATGATATTATATGCTATGATATGCTATGCTATGCTGCGCTATGATATGCTGTGCTATGCTATGCTGCGCTATGCTATGATATGATATGCTATGCTGTGATGTGCTGTGCTATGCTATGCTATGCTGCGCAGTGCTATGCTAAGCAATGCTATGCTATGCTATGCTACGCTATGCTGCGCTTTGCTATGCTATGCTATGTTATGCTGAGCGATGCTATGGTATGCTTGGCTATGCTATGCTATGCTATGCTATGCTTGGCTATGCTACGCTATGCTATGCTGTGCTAATGCTGCGCTGCGCCTTAGCTAAGCTAAGCCAAGCTAAGCTAAGCTAGGCTAGGCTAAGCTAAGCGAAGCTAAACTAAGCAAGGCTAGGCTAAGCTAAGCTGAGCTAAGCTAAGCTAAGTTAAGTTAAGCTACGCTAAGCTAAGATGAGATAAGCAAAGCTGAGCTAAGGGGGCGCAACTGGGGGAAACGCGGGGCGGATACTGGGGGTTCCCACTGCCCGGCCTTTTAAGCCAAGAGAGTAAGAACCCTTCTAGGCAGAGCCTAGGTAGGGAAATTACCCCAGTGCGACCCGACCTAGAAGTTAGAGCCCCTAGGAAAGCAGCATTAGTTGCTATGCTATGCTATGCCATGCTATGCTGCGCTATACTATGCTATGCTATGCTATGCTATGCTGCGCTATGCTATGCTATGCTGGGCTATGCTATGATATGCTATGCTGCGCTATGCTATGCTACGCTATGCTGTGCTCTGTTATGCTAAAGCTCAGTGAAGCTAAGATGAAGGTAAGCTAAGCTAAGATAAACCTGAGCTAAGATGAAGCTAAGCTAAGCTAAGATGAAATAAGCTAAGCTAAGATGAGATAGGCAACGCTAAGCTAAGGGGACGTAACTGGGGGAACCGCCGAGCGGATACTGGGGGAACCGCCCGGGCCGGTTCCCACTGCCCGGCCCTTTAAGCCAAGAGAGTAAGAACGCTTCTAGGCAGAGCCTAGGTAGGGAATGTGGCTCTCGCCTTAGCGCCGCGCACATTAGTTTCAGATTACCCCAGTGCGACCCTACCTAGAAGCTGGAGCCCCTAGGAAAGCAGCATTAGTTGCTATGATATGCTTCGCCATGCCATGCGATGCTGCGCTATGCTATGCCATGCCATGCTGCGCTGTGCTATGCTATGCTATGCTAAGCTATGCTATGTCATGCTGCGCTGTGCTATGTTAAGATATTATATGGTATGATATGCTAAGCTGCGTTATACTATGATATGTTATGATTTGCGATGTGTTGCTATGCTGCGTTATGCTATGCTATGATATGTTGTGATTGGCTATGTTATGCTATGATATGCTATGCTAATGCAGCGCTGCGCTATGCTAAGCCAAGCTAAGCTAAGCTAAGCTAAGTTAACCCTCTGGGCAGAGCCTAGATAGGGAATTACACCCATGCTAATGCTACGCTATGCTATGCTGTGCTCTGCTATGCTAAAGCTCAGTGAAGCTAAGATGAAGGTAAGCTAAGCTAAGATAAACCTGAGCTAAGATGAAGTTAAGCTCAGCTAAGATGAAATAAACTAAACTAATATGGGATAAGCAACGCTAAGCTAAGGGGACGTAACTAGAACCGCGGGGCGGATACTGGGGGAACCGCCCGGGCCGGTTCCCACTGCCCGGCCCTTCAAGCCAAGAGCGTAAGAACCCTTCTAGGCAGAGCCTAGGTAGGGAACATTTGCAAGAGCTTGACAGATTGAGGGCGGGTGGTTTTCAACATATGGCTCTCGCCTTAGCGCGGCGCACATTCGTCGTAAACATTTGCAAGAGTTTCACGGGTTGAGGGCGGATGGTTTTCAAAATGTGGTTCTCGCCTTAGCGCGGCGCAAATTCGTTCTAAACATTTATAATAATTCCACACATCAAAATCGGGTGGTTTTTGAAAATGTGGTTCTCGACTTAGCGCTGCGCACATTCATTCACAAAAGTTGCAAGATTTTCAAGGATTCCCACCATCCACGTACCAGAAGTGGTTTGAAAGGGTTCAGGATCACGTTGGCGCAACAGTTACGTTGATTCGCTGTGTGGAGTCCCAGGAATGGCTTTCTGGCACGACTCAGGATCGTCAACATGCAACAATCAGGTTGATCCGTGGCGTTGGAATCCCGACAACAATGTTTTGGCATGCTTCAGGGTCTTCAGACGGTTGTCTTCCAACGAAGCACTTCCTTCAATGGAAATGAACCGTTGTAGGGGCCTATGAACAGGGAGCTTGGAGGGAGGGTTTGTTCCAACATCGTTGATGACTCTTGGGTTTACAGTGGTCCTCCTCCTCCTCCTCCTCCTCCTCCTCCTCCTCCTCCTCCTCCTCCTCCGCGGCGAGGGCCATCGAGGAGCCTTGTGGATCATCTCGCGAAAAGATGCACGCACGAAACCGAATGATTTGGGGGGTGCGGGCGTCCGAACGATGGCGACGAGGCCAAACATCGTTCGCCAGTGACGTACCCGCCGGGGGCCTGTTCAGGCAGGCTTGGACGTTCTCTGGAGGGCTGCCTGCGCGCAGGCCCCTAAGGGCCTTGCCCCCGAGGACCTCTCCTCCGCGGGGCTGGAGGGTGAGTTGCCCGACATCTCCATCGACCCGGAGGGCAGGGTCCTCAGTGTCATCAACAGCACCGAGCGGGAGCGTTGCTACTTCCTGTCCGTGCCGGCGTCGCCCTCAGCACCGGGGGACGTAGGATCCCCAGACTTGAAAGTTACCTTGGCAAGGGACCCAACCACATGCAGTTGTGAGTACTGCCGTTGCGGGTATCGCCTTCGGGGGATCCCCTCATGGGGTCATGAAGCATGCGAAGGGGGTGCCGATATGGGGCGGAGCCACCATGTGGGCTCTGCCACAGGGACTTCTTAGATAGAACCCATTATGAGGCCGCAAAGCGCTGTACTGAGTGGGAGAGACGCATGCGAACACCGCCATTGGGACATCCGGTGGAGCTCCCTACGGGGCCACGAAGCGCTGAACAGAACGGGGGAGACGCATGCGAACACCGCCACTGGGGCATCCGGTGGAGCTCCCTATGGGGCAACGAAAAATTGTACGCGATGGGGAAAACGCATTCGAACACTGCCACGGGGCCTTCGGTGGAGCTCCTTTTGGGGCCACGAAACGTTGTACTCGGTGGGAGAGACGCATGCGAACACCGCCTTTGAGACACTCGATGGGGCTCCCTATGGGGCCACGAGACGCTGTACTGGAGGGGGGAGGCGCATGCGCACACCGCCACTGAGGCTTTCGGTGGAGCTCCCTGTGCAACAAAACGCAGTACTGAGTGGGGAAGACGCATGCGAATACGGCCTCTGAGGCCTTCGGTGGAGCTCCCTATGGGGCACCGAAACGCTGTGCTGGGTGGCGGAGACGCATGCGAACACCGCCTCGGAGGCCTTCGGTGGAGCTCCATGTGGGGCCACGAAACGCTGTATTCGGTGGGGGAGACGCATGCGACCACCGCCACTGGGGCCTTCGGTGGAGCTCCTTACGGGGCCACAATATGCTATTCTGAATGGGGGATACGCATACGCAGAGGGATGGGAGGAGGGGGAGGAGGAGGACAGGAGAGGAAGAGACGAAGGAGGAGGAGGAAGAGGAGGAGAAGGAGGAGGTGGAGGAGCAGGAGCAGAACGCGGGGCGCTGTATCTTCAAAATGAGGACCCAACACCACAGGATGGTTGGGAAAAACAAAGCGGGGGATTTTCGCCTTTTCCGACCTCTGGGGGGCCTCGCTAGGCCATAGGACCGCGAAAGTTGACGCGGGACGAAAGGCCAGCCCCGGGGAAGGGATCGGGACTTCATGGGCCCCCCGCACTGAAAAAAGCAATCAAGATGTCGGATCTTTGGGGGGCAGGGGGCGGGAGCGGAGAGGGCGACGCGGGCGCGGGGCGCACACGACGAGATCGGCGGCGCTGGCGGAGGAGGGCGCGCGATGATGTGGCCGCTGCCGCTGTGCCCTCCCCTTGCTCCCCAGGGGTCCGAGGTTTGGGCTTCTTCCACGGGACGCTTGCCCCAGGGCAGGGCTCTTCGTCCTGGGCCTTGATCTTGACTTTTTCAGGACATCGGATGTCTGGCTCGGCCCCCTACCCACCTCCCGAGATGCCACTCCCGAGGCGCGGTGCCGCTGCGTCGGTGCCGCCGGGCGGCGGCTGCAGCCTGGTGCCGCGCGCAGCGCGGACGGAGACTCGAAGGAGGAGTGGTCGTGACAACGGCTGCCCTCCGTGGCGTTTGCCGCCCTTGCTGTGCCTCCTGGGGGCCTCTGGCCGCCGCGGCTGTGGAGAATCCTCGAAAAGAAACGGGTCTGGATGGGCCCAAGGGTGGGTCCGAGGACCTAGTCCGAGCGGACCTGCGCGGGGTCCTCGTCGTCCTCCTCTTCCTCCTCCTTTTCCTCCTCTTCCTCCTCCATTCATATTCCTTCTAAATAACTTCCCCTTGTCGCACCCCGAGGCCAGTCGAAGGGGCGGGCCCGGCGTTTCGCTTGGACTTCCTCATTGTTTACGACCTTGAAGTTTTAAAAGTGGGTCAGCTTCACAGATCGAGGGCGGGCCGCTTCCAAAATGTGGCTCTCGCCCTAGCGACGCGCACATTCGTTCTGACAAATTGCAAGAGCTTACAGATTGATGGCGGTCGTTGTCATGTGGTTATCGCCTTGGCGACGCGCACATTCGTTTTCTAAGTTGCAAGAGTTTCACATATTGAGGGCGGTTCGTTTTCGAAATGGGGTTCTCGCCTTGGCGCCGCGCACATTCGTTCCACAAGAGCTTCACGGATTGAGGGCGGGTCGTTTTCAAAATCTGGTTCTCGCAGTAGCGCCGCGCACATTCGTTTTTTATTTCGAAAGAGCTTCACGGATTGAGGGCGGTTTGTTTTCAAAATGCGGTTATTGCTTCAGCGCCGCGCACCATCGTCTTAAACATGTACCAGAATTTCACGGATTCCCGTGGTCGACGTGCCAAAAACCGTGTTTCTGAAAGGATTCAGGATTGCGCGGGCATCACAGTTACGTTGATTCGCGGTGTTGAAGTCCCAGGGTTCCAAGTCGTCAAGACGCAATACTCATGTCCGCTCGTGGCGTTGGAGTCCCGAGAATTGTGTGTTGGCACGCTTCCTCTTCTCCCTCGTCGTCGTCTTCTGTTGTTCCCTCGTCTTGCCGCTGGGCCCCGCTGCGATGGTAAAACAAAAAAGTGTGTTGGCACGCTTCAGGGTCTTCGAATGCTTCTCTCCCACCTAGGCAGTTCCCCCAGTGAAAATAAACCCTTGTAAGGGGCCTGTGAAGAGGGAGTTTGAAGGGAGGGCTTCTTCCAACATCGTTGATGAGTCTTGGGTTTGCACTGGTACTCCTACTCCTCCTCCTCCTCCTCCTCCTCCTCCTCCCTCCTCCTCTTCCTCCTCCTCTTCCTCCTTCTCCTCCTCCTCCTCCTCCTCCTCCTCCTCCTCCTCCTCCTCCTCC